GGAAGCGCCAGGAGGCCTCGGAAGGCAACAGGAGGCGCCGAGAGGCCCCAGGAGCAGGAGGCCCCAGAAGGCAACAGGAGTAGCTCCAATCCCATGTGTTTTACGTATCCTCCAATCGATTGGGCTTCACCTGGAGCACGATTCTTTGATGTTCTCCGTGTGTGTCTATAGATGGTCCTTCGCCTGTGTACACAATCCTAAGTGTTTCAATCATGTTTCTATGTATTGGGCGTCTCCTGGGGCACGAATCCTTTGTGTTTTACGCGTGTTCCTGAAGATTGCACTTTTCCTGTGGCTCTAATCTGCAATGTTTTCTGTACGTCTGTTGCTATAGATTGCGTCTTTTCTGGTGCACGAAGCCTTCCTAGGAGGTCCCAGGAGGTCCCAAGACTCCTGGAGAGCCCCGGAAGCCGCAGTAGGTTTCAGGATGCCCCAGGAGGCCCCAGGCTCATGCACAGAGAGGCGCTCGTAGTACTGAGGCGCATTCACACTCCAATTCATTCGCAGTTAGATTGATGTCCAAACCGTCACAACTGAAGCCCTTTAATATTCGAAAGCTCTTGCGCCTAGACGTTCACGGCGGACAGGTCCATGCGAGTATATGCCCACATGGGGAGCTCCACGCAGTTTTTTTTTTTTTTTTTTTGTCCCCTCCCCCCGCCCCCTGCCCCTTCCTTACACCCAGGCTGCCCCGCTCCCTTGCGGCCAGTGCGGACCCCCCGCGCGCTCGCGGTGAGTGCGGGCCGGGGGCACGCCCCAAAGGAGCGGGTGGTTTTCGGCCGAAGCTGGGGCAATTCCGAACCTCTCGACAGCTAGCCGCCTTGCCGCCGCGGGCGGGCCGTTCCCACAGCCCGGGGCAGCCCGCTCAGGTGTCGTTGGCCCGCTGCCAGCCTGCGCCTCGCGCCGCGGCGCACGGCCTGTCGCCGCCAGTCGCCGGCTGGCCGCTCTTCGCAGCGCCGCGCCGCCGGGCCCGTCGCCGCCGCCGCCCTCAGCAGCGTTCGCGCGCGGCCTCGGGGCGGCGCTGGCGGCGCTGCTTATTTCGCCCTCCGCGCGGCGGCGCCGCCGCCGGCGGCCGCGCTTCGCCGCGGCGCCTGGCCCGTCGCCGCCTGCCGGCAGTCGGCCGCCGGCCGCCGCGCCTCGCCATCGGGCCTGCTGCCGCTGGCCGCCGCGCTCGCCGCCGCAGGTCGCTGGGCAGAGGGTTGTGGCGTTGGAGGGCTGAGTCCTCCCCCCTCTTGCCCTTGAACAAACCTGCGACGTCGCTGCGCCTCGCCGCCGG